CTTATGGAACTGAGACGTGGTCCTTCACTGCTGGCCGCATGAGGAAGCTCAAGGTCGCTCAGCGAGCTATGGAGAGGGCTATGCTCGGAGTTTCTCTGCGTGATAAACTTAGGAATGAGGATATCCGCAGTAGAACCAGAGTAACCGACATAGCCCAACGGATTAGTAAGCTGAAGTGGCAGTGGGCCGGCCATATAGCTCGAAGAAACGACAACCGATGGGGAAGAAAGGTTCTCGAGTGGCAGCCTCGTACCGGTAGGCGAAGTGTAGGGCGTCCCCCCACGACGTGGAGTGACGACCTGGTAAGACATGCAGGAAGTCGATGGATGCAGGTGGCTCAGGACCGTGCTTTGTGGCATTCTTTGGGGGAGGCCTATGTTCAGCAGTGGACTTGTGAAGGGCTGTAATGATGATGATGATGATGAGTTACGATGCGTAAATATAAATTTTAAATCAGGTGCGTGCGATCACTCTGGAAGCTCGTAGAAAATTAAACGTGCGCTCAACGTGTGGACGCGGCGGCCAATACTCTGCCACAACCCTTTGATCTTTTGTAAAAAACCGACACCACACGGATCTCGCACCAACTTGTGGGCCATCATTCCAATACATACCAAGTGCATCACAAACACCCTCTACACGATGGCCATCGGTATTAGCCAACACATTCGCCACTATGTTGGCCAACGTGCAGAGCCGCCTTCACGAACATTATCTTCTTTATTTATGGAGCAATGTACAACAACGATGTACATTGCTCCATAAATAGTGCATATAATCTTTATTGCCAATCTACGTAAGTAGAAAAATTATATATATTTTTACATCCTTCTTAAACGCATGACGGATAGCGTTCTCATAGCGTATTCATGTATCTTAGGGTTACTAGATGGAAAATTTAAAAGTCCTGACAAATAACCTGATTTCTATAGAAAGTTTTGACAATTTGCTGCAAAAGTAATAAACTATTAAGAAACAGTTATCAAAACAACTTTTTTAAAAAAAAAAACGTTACCCCTACACTAAGATTTTCTCCTGTATCGTGGAGGCAGTTTACAAACATAAATTACACAAGGACGAACATCTAGACCCGGAACAATTATTTGCAGGCCATACAAATACTTGTTCCGTGCGGGATTAGAAACCGGGGGCCCCACCGCAGCAACTCACTGCTAAGTCACTGCGCCAAGGAGGCGTATTAATAGTTTTTCACATAAAATATCTACTGTATTTTTTATGGATATCTAAACGTACTTCAAAGGTTAGGAAACGATTTCGCACAATTACAACTCTATACATTAATTCGTAATAAAATCCCCTACAACGTATCATCCCGTGAGTGAGAGGGGACAGAGAGAAATTAAACAGTAGAAGAGCAGCAGCATCTTAAAATAATAAAAAACTGCGGTTTGCCAGTCCGTTTTCTACGCGTGGCAATCATGGCAATGATCCATTCTGAGATAATCTATAGGGAAGTCTTATGTTCAGCAGTGGACTTTTGGTAGGTTCTGGTAATAGATGGATAGATATTAATTCGCTAACTAAAACCGTGCAATAAAACCTCCGTCATCGTGAACTGAGTCGTGAACTGAGGATTATAGTATAAATAGGCCGACCTCAGTGGCGTGATGTTCCTCGGATATCGATCCTTATCCGTTTTTATTCTTAGACTGTATATATGCCGCATATAGGGCAATGCATTGCTGATTTTATTTTTTCATCATGATGATTTGCTGTGATTTCAAATTAAAAAGGACAATTCTTTTATATACTTTATAAAGTTTCTTATTGATTTACTTCTAAAAGCGAAAATAAAATATATTATGTTAATACAAGTACAATTCTGATACGGTTTGAAAATATTCAGAAGTAGCTATTGTCAATTCACCCATGTTCCTTGGTGTCGTCGAATATTAAGCAATGAAACCTCTTTTATTACTGACAGCTTACCTTTTCTTAATTAATAATTCCCTATGAGTTTTGGCGGGAAATTGACCGGCGGCGGTTTGCTGCTCCTGTATTATTGTTTAAATAATGGTTTGAAGTGGACTTTGATATGTAAAAGTGTTGCGATTTTGTGTATTAAGTGTCTACGCATGTGAACTATTAGTGGAAACAGTGAAACAAGTGCTCTGATGGTGATGGATTCTCAAGATAAGCTGTTTGTTTGCATAGGCACCTTTAGATACCATCGCCAACTATCAGCTGTCTGCTGGATCAAGTTGCCGCCAAAATCTCCCAAGAACTGCACAATGTGACGCATCAACATATTGTGAAGCAGTATACTATGAAGGAGTGAGGAAATTACAATAAACCGAATAAAAATACTTAAGACTTGGCCTAAAGGTCTAGATACCAGGCCATAAACTCCAAAAAAAAAATTCCCTATCGTATCCTCAGTTTGACGGCTCTGTGACGCAGTGGCTTAACATTGAGTTGCGGCAGAGAGAGCCGCGGTTTCGAGTTCCGCACGGAACAAGTATTTGTATGGCCTACAAGTAATTATTCCGGGTCTGGATGTTTGTCCTTGTGCAATTTATGTAGGTATTTAAACTGCCGTCACAATACAGGAGAAATTCCTAGTGTGGAGAGTTACGTTTTTTTTTTAATAAAATAAATAGTGTTTTATGAACCCTAGATCACTCGTTCTATTGAGAGAATCGGCAAAATACCAAAACTATTGATACACGAAAATGAGCAGACGACCTCTTGACCTCACTAGTAAGAATGGGAAACTCTAGTCACAGACCGAACGCGAGGGAGGGAGGAAAAGGCCTTTGCTCAGCAATGGAACAGTATCTTAACCTTCCTCGGTCTGAAAAAAACACTGCTAGACGTGGACATCTCCCATTACAGGGGGGATTTGCCGTAATAGTCTTGTTTTTCAGGCAAATTGAAAATCGCAGTGCCAGAAGTCGCATACCTTTGACACTGCTACTCGTAGTCGGCCTAGGTATTTTACGTCTGACGTATACAATATACCGCCATCTATCGGAAGATCTGAAACAACTTTTCTGGCATTTGCCATAGTCTCCTTTTACGACACTATACCCATGCAATGAAATGGTGTGATGGGTATTCTTACGCCGCCACCACACGGCTAGAGACAGTACAAGTGTGCATAATATGTGTGAATTATCCCACACACACACACACACACCTCCCATATCAATACAATCGATACAATACAATTGATACCATCGATTGTATTCGCATGGAATCTCTCACAATCTAAAACTTAAAATATAAATCTTTACGGATCTTACCGCTTTTAATTTTCATAAATTCATAATTATTTATTTGCATAGAATGTAGGTAGATATTATCATAGTATTATTAAAATATGAAAGTTCCGATACATTCTGCCTTATAGACGCGTACAAATTTTTAATAAATAGTTATAACACATTTTTTATACAATTATTGATGAGTTTTAGTTTTATCAATATAATATAAAAATTCCAATTAATAATTAAATAAATTTCAAAAGATTAATTAGGAAAAACAATGTCACACAATCGTTTATAAATGTCACAAATAAATGTTCATATGTAAATACAGTAATAACCAACTAATAATTATTCTATAACTATCAAAGTGTGATTTTATTTACTCACAGCAAACGTTTCAAGCTATTTTAGATACAGATATTTAAATTTGGAATTTGTTTTGATTTTTATGATCAAAATACTCATTGACGGTATATAAACAATTAGCCATTCATGAAGTTTGCTTTTTAACTTTGTTATTGGAAAATTTTTAAACTCGTCGGGTAAATAATTAAAGATTTTAAGCGCCATTATGTATGATTTTTTAAGGAAGATCATTTTACATTTTGGAAGGTATATTCTGTTATTAGATGTTTCTCTTAAACTTCTATCTCTTAAAAATGATTACTTGGGAAGTATTCAGGGAACTGCTTGACAAAAATTGCTGCTTGTTTTATATACATACATGCGAGTGGTAGCACTTTCATTTCTTTAAATAATGGCTTGCACGATTCCATGGAATAATATGTCCATGAATATTTCCGAATGTATTATATTTTGGATCCTAAATACGCGTTCTATTTCAGAACAGTTGCCCCCACATCAGAAGTCCGTACTGCAATATCGATGAGACATAGCCATGACAGACGTTTAACGCTGCTTTGGCAGATGCTATCTTTCGAAGTCGGTAAAGCGAAAATACAAATCTGCTTAATTTGTTACATATCGATTGAACATGCATTTTCCAATTACAATTATTGTCAATAGTGATACCAAGAAACTTATAATAACCAACCAACTTATAGCACTTTCTCATTATACCTTATATTTAAACTAATTTGCTTACTTCTAATCATGTGAAATTGCATTATTTTTGTTTTATTTATATTTACAGTCATATTGTGAAAATATAACCAATCGATAATATCTTTTAGTGTACTATTAATATCAAATTTAAAAAGCCTTTTGTTCGTATATTTAAAAATGACCGTTGCGTCATCAGCGAAAAGAATCGTTTTATGAGTTGTTGTTGGTAGGTCATTAATATATTATACTAGAAAGAGTAGAGTACCCAGAAAACTTCCTTGTGGTACACTATATTTGTTTAACCGATGTTCAGACAAGATATGCACCTTTTTACGGTTTTTGAGCTTTGTTATTTCAGTGCATTGTTGCCTTTGACCCAGGTAACTTTTAGACCATTCATTTGCTTTCCCACGTATTCCGTATCTTTGTCCTACATTTGTCGTCTGTCTAGAAGCTAATTATGATGTTTTATATTTCTGAACGACTCGCGTCTAGTAATGTTATGTACAAGTATTCCGTTTTTTTTTTTCAAATGACACTGAATTACAGTCAGCATTATTGATTTATTTTTTAATATGATTTGTTACTTCTTATGACATCGCTCTGTGTTTTTGTGAATAGGCAGACATTCAGTTACTATTTAATTTTTTATTACAGTTTATCTGCAGGACTAATTTATTTATCACCATACTTTTCTCTCAACAGTGGCACGGCAGCCTGTCCTGTGAGGCGGCAGCAGCGTCATCGTCGGGTGGCGCCGGTGCCCCTCTGTTACCGGAGTCGGAGCTGATCAAGATGTGCCCGATGTGTCGAGTGCCAATCGAGAAGGACGAGGGATGCGCGCAGATGATGTGCAAAAGATGCAAGCATGTATTCTGCTGGTACTGCCTGGCCTCACTCGATGTAAGTAGCATATTTTCAAAATTTGTTTCCTTATGTACCCAAAATGACGTGTGGTGATAAGAACCACCACCACCGCTACGTTAGCGTTACAGCTTAAAGTTCATTGCTGAACATGACCTACCCCCATAGATTGCCTAATAGGGGGGATTTTTGCCATGGTTGTCTCGCTTGGGAGGCGGTTGGCAACCGCAGCCTTTTATTTTTAGTCGTAATTAGAAAGACGCTGCTGCTCATCTCCTGATTTGTTTCTCTCTGTCGCCTCTTACGACACCCACGAGATGATATTGGAGGTTATAATATCATTTCAACATATCCAAGTTTTCTACAAAAACTAATTACCACCCATTAATTTATATTTAACGGGGAGACTTGGCTAATGTTTAATAGTGATTTCTCATTGGTGATATTTCACTATTTTTATTTATTAACTTATTTTTATTAATTAACTAGTGATCCGCTCTATCTTCGCCTGGGTAGGAACTATTAATGTGGTTTTATTTCGATTTAAGATGCCTAATCAAAGACGATTTATTTTATCAATTTTCCGTTTTCTTTTTCAAAAATCTCGGTTGAATATACCCAAAAAAAAGTTTATAAAAATATAGTCAAGGTCCCACCTGGCACTGCTCTCTGTATGTTCGTAAGGTTTCATCACAATCGGTCCAGCCGGGACAAACAAAAATCAATTTTATTATGTATAGATTAAATAAATGCAGATTACTCTCCTTTTCTATTTTAGGTATACATTTTTATAAGTAATCCGTATAATGATTTAAGTAAACCTCAGAGTGCACTTCTGTGAAGTGTTGCCAGTAAAAAAAAATCCATATAAGCGAGGTCACTACTTGATGGAAAACGAAAAGGTCAAGAGTTTTATAGCTTTTCTTCAAACAGGTCGGAATGTTCAGCAAGTGGAACGTTTTACAAATTATTCTTGTAAAGCGGAGATGCACTTTTTTGAATGAAACTTTTCATTTAAACTTTGTAAGTTTTGTATCTACCTAATATAAGCGACGCACACAATAATTATGCATCTATCCGACCGCACCTATGATAAATTAAATTAAAAATAACTTTTTCTGGGATGGGTTCAAATATAACCAGAGGAACCTTAAAAACTTAAAACTCGAACCATGAATTATGAACCCGAGCAGTGAAGGACATGAAATTTTGCCATGATATGTACCTACAAAATATTTTTTGTTCATTGTAAATGCATAACGCCTTTCGTACGGTACACAATATTGTGACATTTACACAGTTTTGGTACGAGGGTGGATTGAAAAGTATGTAGTGCTCTGTAGACACCCCTTTACCTCCGACAATATACATTTATGATATTAGTATTAAGTATAGAATAGCGACAGTATAATTAAAGTTCTTGTACAAGCAACACGTCTCCTTCATTCAGCACCTTCCGAGTTCTGACATTACAAGTACTCGGCCTAACCAAGAAAATAAACACATACTAAATCAGTTATATTTTTATTTTTCTACATAATCACCATCAAGTTCAATACACTTTTGCCACCTCCCCTTCCAAGCATTTAGACTGTTGAAAAAAAATGATTCTTCCTTAGAGTCAAAATATGCGTCTACAGCTGCTTTGACCTCGTCGTTTGTCGAAAATCTTTGACCTCCCAAGTGCTTTTTTAGGTTAGGGAACAGAAAGAAGTCTGATGGTGCCAGATCAGGTGAATACGGCGGATGCGGTAACAGTTCAAAGCCACAGTTGTGAATTTCAGCCATTGACTGTACTGACGTGTGAACACGGGCGTTATCTTGATGAAACAGGACTTTTCTTCTGAGCATTCCTCGACGTTTTTCTTTTATTTCCTCTCGTAAACGACGTAGTAAGGTGCAGTAGTAATTAGAGTTTATATTCTGACCCCTTCCAAGATAATCAATCATAATCACACCTTTCGAGTCCCAGAATACTGAAGCCATCACCTTATTTGCCGACAAAATCGACTTAGCCTTTTTAGGGGGTGGTGAACCGGTCTTCTCCACTGTTTTGATTGTTGTTTTGTTTCCGGTGTACAGTAATGAACCCATGTTTCGTCCATAGTAACAAAACGATTCAAAAAATCATCTGCATCGGCTTCAAATAACTCCAAACAGTCGCGTGAAATAGTCAATCGCGTCCTTTTTTGTTCAACTGAAAGCAGTCGCGGAACCCACCTCGCAGACACCTTGTGGAAACCCAACTCGTTGACAATGATGTTTTGAGTTCGTTCATAAGAGATGCCTATAATCTCGGCTATCTCTCTAATTTTTAATCTGCGGTCTCCCATTATTAAATCAAGTACTTTTTTAATATTTTCGTCAGTAGTTGACGTCGAAGGCCTTCCAGAGCGGGGTTCATCTTTCACACTCTCTCTACCACGCTTAAATTCTGCTATCCATTTTTTGACGGATGAATATGACAGAGCACAATCGCCTAATGTACTGACCATGTCATCATGGATGGCTTTTGATGATAGCCCCTTCTTATGGAGGTACTTAATAACGGCACGCTGCTCGATTTGCTCCATTCGCGGAAATTATGTCCGATTACTTTGTTAATAAATTTATAAAATCACAACTAATTATCGCACACGTTTCGAACTTCACACAATGAACTAGTCTGAACTGAACTAAATAATGTGGATAGATTTGATTTTTAGAATTGAATTCATCTGTGTTAGGCCGAGTACTTTTCAATCCACCCTCGTATTAATATACATAGTCTTTTAAACGTGGTAGAGCCATGCTGCAGCTTTATTAGTAGTATAGTTGTTTTTTTTTGTTTTTTTTTTTTTAATAGGAACTGGTGACAAACGAGCACACAGTCCACCTGATGGTAAGTGGTTACTGTGACCCATAGATATCTATATCTATCTCAATAAAGACTCAAGATGCAGATGCGTTGTCACCCGTGAGGACTAAGATGGAATGCCTCTTTGCCAGTAAAAAGGGTATCCGGTTCTCGACACTCACCATACGAAACACAGTGCTACAACCATAATATAGCTGCAGCATGGCTCTACCACGTAGAGCACATTGGAGCACGAATGGGTCGGCTCTACCGGGGAAGGACCACGCTCTCACAGAATACCAGCGTAAAATAGCAGCTTAACGCTGCTGTGTTTCGTATGGTGAGTGTAGAGAACCGGGGACCCTTTTTACTGGAAAAGAGGCATTCCATCTTAGTTCTCACGGGTGACAACTGACAACGCATCTGCATTTTAATTCGCAAGCGAGGATAGATGTAGATGTCTATGGGCCACAGCAACCACTTACCGGCACAGGTGGACTGTGTGCTTGTTTGTCACCCTATCCTATAAAAAAAAAAGTCTTAAAAAATCGAGAGGTCATGTAATCCACAAATAATATTGAAGCGGCGCTTTTTTTACGGCCTTACCTCATCGCAAAGAAAACGTCTATTTGGTTGTTTTCCTTAAAGTTGGCCCGGAGTAGGTTCTCTGTCAGTGTGACCATAAGTTTGATACAAAAATGAGCCATTGTATTAAAAGAGAAAAATATTTGTTTTTGAATAATTTTAACATGGTATCTGAATGGGGTCTCCTATGTTAAACATATTTTTCTCATATTATTGTCATACTTCAATGTGTGTTTTAGCTTTATGGATACACCATATAGTACAATAATTATTATCAACATAAGGTAATCAGATGTTAGATCACTAGTTAGAACTAAGATTATTAGGCAGATGGTTGAAAAGTTCCGTTTTAAATAAAAGTTTTTCTGTTTCTAGTACAAAACAAAACAATGCCTCAGTGCTGTATTCTATGATTTTTTTGTAATTCTTCTACTTTTATGAATATCCGTAGTTTGATCTATTCATGTCTAATATAAACAAGTAGGATGCGGGAAGTAGACTGTGTAAGAACCTCCGAAGGAGGCGGAGTTGTAGCCGAAATAAGAATTTTTAATTTTTTGGTTTTTGCCCCTATTCAACCATGACCCCCGTGACATCCTCTACATGATAGGCTCATTTCTAGTCTTTACTTTCAATTACTTCCAAATATATTTAACTAATATTTCAGAAAGGAACATTAAATCTCTAGATACTTTTCTAACAAAAGAACTTTTTTTTTGAGAATTCTGTCAAATTTTTCGACTCATTCCAAAATGGCAGAAAAAGCCCTAGTAGCAGAGAAAGTTATTGCTTGAGAATATAGTGTATCTGTGTGTGTGTGCTGTAATGCCCTTTTTTTGTAACAAAGAAACCTTCGCGGGCGCGCCGACAACAACTCGCTAATGCTGGTCAGTCTCAACGTCGCTAGAGGAACGCATGGAAGACAAACAAACAAATGTCCTGTTTACAGCAGCACACTTGTGAAAGGCTACTATTACGATGATTATAATATATTGTTTAAGTTTGTACGGCCTATTTCATTGTAAAATGCTTCTTTAAAAAATTGGCATAAAAAAATTCTTTAAAAAGTGAATGAAATATTTGACAGATTGCATGACGGAAAAGGTAATTTGTTAGGAAAGTGTAAGGATTAATATGTCTCTCTGTAATATTAGTTATATTTTATATTTATTAGATATGAGATGAATGAACCAAACTACGGGATATTCCTAAAAGTAGAAAGATTTAAAAAAAATAGTTAAAAATGTGCAAAAAATTAACGAGCAAACCACTGCGGCATTGTTTTGTGTGTTTATTTATGCTCTAGAAACTGATACACTTTTATTTATAGCGTAACTTCGCAATGGTATGACATTTATAACAAAAAACTTCACCTCATTCAGAACCACTGGTAAAAATAAAAGATGACCTTATGTTGAACCAAAATTACTCCATTTTATAATATTTCATTCTATTCTAAAATAAAAAATGAGGTGTAGAATAAAACTTTTTTAAGTTTGAGTTATTTTTATTCTACATTAAATTAGTATAATTTCTATTGTCTTGCAAAATGAGTGAGTACAGGTACCGCCATCTATTGAGCATCATATTATGCTATATTAATAACAAACTGAAGTCT